TTCGAAGAGGGAAGCGTTGTTCTTCAGATACCACCAGGCGCCTATGAGATAGATGAAATCAATAGAGCAATACAAAAGGCTATAGAGAGTTGGACTCCGCTGAATGGGCGAAATATTGATGATGTATTCTCCCTTCGAGCTAACAATAATACGCTCAAATGTGAACTCAAGTCCGAAATTATGTTAATTTTGAGTATTAACGATTCTATAGCCAAAGTCTTGGGCTTTGAACCGAAATATTACAAGCCCAATGTTTTGCATGAATCCACTTTACCTGTGAACATCATAAAGGTACGATTGATACGGGTTGATTGTAATATCACTACTGGAGCGTACCTCAATGGTGAGGAGGTTCACACGCTTTACGAGTTCGATGTCGATGTGGAGCCTGGATACAAACTCTCAAAGGAGCCGAAAAATATTATATATCTACCAATCAGTCCGACAGGGCGTCAGTCTATCGACAACATCACACTGAGAATTTTGGATGATAATGACCGATTAGTTGACTTTCGCGGAGAGAAGATTATAGTAAAATTGGAATTGAAACAGCTCGATTAATTATTACAACGGTTTGGAAAAATGGGTTTCTGCTTCGGAAACCAATCAAAACGTGTATCTCTCGCTGCAAACCCCACTATTCTACACACTACCGTTAAGAAGAAGTGTAAACGGGGTAGAGGATTCATTCAAAGACAGCTCACCGGTCAGGTAGGACGTCATAGATTATCTGCGAGCGATATAAATTTTTTGGAATCTATTGGTCTGACAGTACGACAAAGACGACGACGAACGAGTAGAAATTAGTGAACAATGGTTGTCACAAGTTCTACTAGCTTACAATTGGAGGTGTTTGATGAACCAATTTTCGATCATTCACTAATAAGCCTACATGAGCATACATACAAACCATATGGTTCACCATCATTCAAGAATTCTGATGAAATCAGGATAGCTGTCAACTTTCAAGATTTGATACTCGATATTTCTGATAGCTACATATATATTGAGGGGAAATTCACACCAGATGATGCAACGAAATCCTGCTATCTATCTAACAATACCTTAGCCTTCCTCTTCGATGAAATTCGTTATGAAATGGGTGGCGAACAAGTATGTATGATTCGAAAACCAGGCATTACTACCACAATGAAGAGCATGATCTCTTATGGAGATTCTAACGCTAAATTTCTTGAAACAGTCGGATGGGGAATTGATAGCGAAAATCAGCCAATTCTAGACAAATCTAGTCACATATTCAGTGGAAAACTACCGCTAAAATATTTAATGGGGTTCGCTGAGGATTATAATAAAGGTATATTGAATGTGAAACAGGAGCTGATACTCATCATAGCTCGATCATTCAAAAACTGCTATATAGGAGAAGTTGATGCCAGTGTGGAGATTAACAAAATCGAATGGAAGATAGGACATATTATGCCATCGGATAAGCAGAGGTTGAAATTACTGAACCGTCTCAATAAAAGTTCTACAGCAAAAGTGAAAATTGCATACAGGATGTGGGATCTGTATGAATTACCGTCAATTCGTGAAACATCTTCAGACATTTGGGCTGTTAAAACCACCAATAGTCTCGAGCGACCAAGGTACATTATCATAGGCTTCCAAAATTCTGGTAACACAGATAATAGATCCAAGGATACCACCCAATTCATTCATGCGGGAGTCAACAATATTCGACTGTATTTGAATTCGGAAGTTTACCCTTATGAACGGTGGAATTTGGATTTTGGAAAAAAGTTAGATGCTGTAGCCTATTATGCATACGATAATTTCCAACGAAGCTATTATGGTAAAGACATGAGCGAACCAATGATGAGTATTGAGGAGTTTAGAAAAAATCCGTTATTCATCATAGACTGCAGCCATCAACCGGACACATTGAAATCTTCAACTGTCGATATCAAGTTGGAGTTTGAGACACGCCAATCGAAATTTCCATCTAATACCAAGGTATATGCGCTCATTCTTCACGATGCATTTTTGACATATAGCGCACTAGATGGTTCAATACAGTTGGGTGCTCCTTGAATACACTCTACAGATCTGGAGCAAATTCTAGCCTCCGTCCACCTCCACCACCACCGCCACAGCCGACCATGAGCATTCGAAGCCTATAATTGTATTAGATCAGTTTTTTCATTATTATTATTATGTTCATTATTATTTATTATCATCATGATTATTATTATTATTATTATTATTATCGACACATGTATCTGCACTAAATTGAATAAAAGTAAACAAATGTTTTACAAATCATCGTTTTTATTTCTTGATTGATAGACAATGAAAAATGCGAGCTCATCATCATCATTCCATAATTTATATATATACATGCAAATGATAATAGTATGATTGAAGCATCTCTTAGCAATATCATCATTTCGATTCTTCTTCTCCTTCCTCCTCGTTGTCGGATGATTCTGGAATTACCCCCAAGTTGTACTTCCGTATCAGGCTGTTTGGTAGGAAATCAAAAATTTCATACAGAAATTGGTCCAAGTCCTCTCCCACCATTGCTTCAAGAAATTCCTCCAAAGTGAAGCTACCATATTCGAACCGGGCGCATAACATATAACCCTTTCTATATTGTTCGGCTTGTTTACAGAGTCGTTCAACTTGTTCTCGATCGAAGCATATGCTCAAATCATAATTTGTCGCATGCATTGCATCACGTGACAAATCAGAGAACTGACATTTCAACCTGCTCACTGCTGATTTGATGTCTTCCGCTGCCGGCCAGAATTGACTAGAATAATACATCCACATGTTGGGGAACAGGAGTCTGTAAATGATAAAAAAAAGTTTGGTAATGATGAGATTATTTGGGAGATTTGTCTTTCATTGAATTCTTTTTGGAACCTAATTTATTACTTACCGCAAACGGTACGATCTGCGTTAGTGGCTTGTGTTAATGTAATAATAATTATCATATAATTTTTAAACCCTTTTCACTAAACTATACTAAAAAAACCTATCAGAAATAATTAAGTAGAATAATTCCGAATTAATTTTGCTTGAAGTCAAACTTGATGAGAGCCCTCGTTTTTGCACCTACATATAATGGCTCACTCTGACCCAAATATGCTAGAGTATAAAGACCATTTGAAGAATTCATCTCATCAATGTCGCTGTCACTCAGCAACTCTACAACTCTTTTGGGCAACCAACATTTCAGACTAGCCTCAGTTTCTTCATCGTACAATATTACAGAACCGCTCCTACCAAACCTGGTTCCACATAGTGATATTTTCTTGACCACATAGCTTTTATTCAAGAGTAGTGATGAGATAACAGTTTGCTTGATAATATCATTGTCTTCGTTAATTCGATTATTTATCGTTAACAAATCAATTTTAGGAGCTGCCATTATAAATTCTTCTTTGTTGAGTGAAAAGAGGTGTAAAAAGTATATAAATAATTTTTACTTACATATAACAGTTCACGTACACTTTTATTGCAAACACTTTATATTCCCAATCAATTTGAGCGGGTATATTTTTTATGTGCGAGTTGGTGGTGCGTATCTTCCGTATTATTAGGAGAACTATGCTCTCGCAGACGATACAATGATGTATTTATAGGAACTGGGATATGTGACGTAACACAGCACCCCACTTCTACCAAAACGACCTCGACCAGCCTACTCCCATTTTCAAGGTCGCACACGCTTTCACCTCCCTCTCCAAGGTCGAGGTCTCTCTCTCTCTCTACAACTCAAGGTCACTCGTTCCCAAGGTCACATATGCGAAGGTTACTCGTACAACCTTCCTTCAAGGTCACTTTGTCTCGCCCTCAAGGTCACCTCCGCGTTCAAGGGCGTGCTGTCGACACTTCACTATACGAGGTTACTCCCGCCCAAGGTCAGACCCGTTCAAGGTCACTCCCGCCCAAGGTCACTCCCGCCCAAGGTCACTCCGCCCAAGGTCGGAGGACGGTGACCTAGGGCGGAGAGCCAGAACCGGCCAATCTTTACTACTTCTTAGCTATCAACATACATTTGGTCTTTAGAAAATTCAGCATCAGTCCATTATCACACAACCATGTAAAGATACGACTCAACTCCTCATTCAAAGATGATTCAACTTCTCCTGGTTCACTAGCAAAGTATAACAGAGTATCATCAGCGCGAATAATTTCAATTAACATTTTTTGACTTGTTTGATGATATCGTTAATATGATGTCAAATTATTCCAGTGATCAGATTATCTCAATGATATTCTAGGTTTTATGTTGTTTGTACATATTTGTCTAGTATCATTATTGTTTTATACCTATTCATTTCATTCTTCATTGTTTGACCTGTTGAATTAGTTGGTATTTTACGATGATGTTATGATTCTTTTCTAATTTTTATTGTCAGAGAAAACTTATTCAATAAAAGTTTGATTGATTGAGTAAGAGTGGGTAAGATATATGACAGGTCGATGTCGTTAATGTAATAAAGGTGGTCTTATGGCATTCGCGGTCTAGATAGTAGGTTATGTCGGTAGGAGTATAACGCTTGATTGTTAACGCTCATTTCACATTCGCCTTCTTCACATAATTATGTAACTGTATATTTTCAAAAATATGCGCATCTTTCAGTAAGATAATCCATTTTTCGTCAACTATCAAATTGATATCGTCTATTCGGAAAGATTTCAATGATTTCATTCACCGTTGATTTTGATAAAAATTGGTAATTAACTGTTTGCTATTGGCATACAGAACTAGTCATGATAAGTAGAATAACATACTATAGCCCATATACTATTATCATTCTATGTATATTGATTACCTACGAATCTATCTTTCTTATTCAAGTCTCTGTTGACTGTTGTTCTTGTATACCTATGTATTATGATGTTGAGAAATAATAAATCCATTTCCATCACAGATTCATTCAATTGACATTGACTTTTATAGTATGAAATTTGTTGTACCGGGAGTTACATCATTTTTTTATTAATTATTTTCCTATTTCCGTTTTCAGTGAAGGAGGATTCTTCAAATGTCACCTGTATTTTCCTAAAGAATATCCTCTTAGGCCACCTAAGATGAAATTTGTGACAGAAATTTGGCATCCGAATAGTAAGTATTCCTTGAATTTAATGGTACTTGTCAGTTTCCTCTTTTATTTTCGAAAATCTTCGTGAAAACATGACCAAGTTTTGTACCAGGTGGTTCAATAACGGTGACGAGGTACAGTATCTCAGGAACTAATAGTTTATTAAACACGCCTCCTAGCGAGGGCGGTAAGAACCAGAATGGTATGTATGGATCTTTATTTTATTCACCAAACCTTCCCTCCTCGAACCATATCTTTTATTAGCAATTGATTAGTTCCTGAGATACATCTTGTCGGTTACCCTTATTGAATCACCTGGTACATGCATCTACCAATTTTTTTATACTCAATTCAACAATGTTAAAAATCGAGTTGAGAATATTTTGAAATTTTGTTCAGGAGCGTGGGAAATAGGAGGGCACTTTTTTGTTGTTGTTGTCTGTTTGTTTTTCTAGACTATTTCACTTATTTTATTTTTAAATTAATTAATTTCACGTACATACATAATCTGACCAATCGCAACTATTGCACGACAATGACCACTTGTTTTATTAAGATTATTATTAAGATGTTCTGAATATTCGAATAATTCTGTTGCTTTGTTGTTCACGAAATCGTGTTGCCGATATTCAGAACAAAGTGGTTTATTGCTAGATTATTTCACGAAGCATACTAAGCATTTATTATAAATGAACAAGCCATATAACCCCAGCGAAACTGATAGATTTTGCTTTGCTATCCATGGTTACATCGTTGAAAACACCAACTCTGATAGACCAATCGGAATTGAAAAACAACTCCTTTTTTGTGATAATTCAAGTTGTCTTTGGCTTAAGATTGGTCAGATTATGTGAGAAATTTAAGATGACTGGAATAGTTGCGAAAACACTAGCACTCTTTCAATTCTGCTTAGTCTATCAGCGTTGGTGTATTCAACGATGTAACCATGGATAGGAAAGTAGATTCTGACAGTTTGACATACAATAATTATAGCTGTAGATGTCACAATGAATCGCTTCGGATATATGGCTTGTTTATTTATATAATATTGTTGACTCAATTATGTTGCCGTATAGCAATAACAGTCGTCCTGTGGACTCGTGATGTTTTCTAGAAGCAATTCAATCTCATATGTAAAAACTTCACAAACGATAAGATTGCCACAAAATTCTTAAACACACAGTTGCTTCGTCAGGTGATATCCTGGTACAATGAACTAAACCAACCTTGGCTTGCTTAACTTTTATTTATCCTACTTTCCCAATTTGAAGGATTAGTTACCTGTGGACAGGTTGGATCAACCTTCATTTTCGAAAATTAGGCACAGTATCTAGATTAAAATACGGTGTACCGGATTAACTTGAACGGGTTGATAGCAACAATTCAGTCTCGTTGAGGAATGCATTGACAGACTTGCCAAGAAAATGTAATCATTTGTGGCGAGATTTGTGGTATTCTGCTATGTAACTACTTATTCATGATTGTAAAGAATAAAAATAGTGCTTTTCCTACATATCTACCATAATAAAATTATTTTTTCTACAAACGTCAAAAAATGACAAGGTTCGCGCATTGATAACAAATTGCGAAGTGACACTTTGCCTACTTCGCGCATTGTTATGTAAAATATATGAGATATTTATATTTCAACTTTTAGGTCCTCAATCGAGCAAACATCTACGAAATCATTTATTTCTGAATGTTCAACAATGACTTTGTTTTATCTCTTGGAGCGCACGAAAGGAAATTCCTATTATGTTCATGGAACATCGTGCGTACCTAGGGAGGATAGGGGGAGGCCTTTTAAGCCAGTTCGACACTATTTTTCATATCAAGCTAAGCATATTTTTACTTCAAAACTATATTTTTTGACGTTTGTAGAAAAAATGTTGTTTGCAACTCGAGCGCGAAATACTTTGGTCATCTCGACTATTTTTTTAACTCGGCTACGCCTCGTTAAAAAAATCAGATCTCGATCACCAAAGTAGCATTTCGCACTCTAGATACAAAAATAACTAATTAAATCGATTTTTGCATCACATCCTTGTTATTTTGAATCAAAACATCGGCGGTAGATGTTTGGGGTAGGTTAGGATCCATGTGAATGGGGCTCACCCCTAGAGGTTACAGTTCACTGTACAAACCACATCTTGAAAGAAAGTTGTATTTTCAATCAAAGCCTACTCTTTGGACATTCTCGAAAGGAGCAGGCAACATGAAAAGCCCACAGAAGTACAAATAAGAGAAGAATCACTTGAAGGAATTGATGCAGCTGCGAATGAAATTAGAAATGAACATTTTCATATTTTAAAAGCATTTTTGGACGACGCTGATCTGAACAACTATTAGCTACAATAACTTTTCAAAGTGAATTTCATTTTCTCGTAATCTGCTCGTGGTGTATTCTTCAGTATACCGACTGCGCCATGATATGTTTGACTATATCAATCATCTAATATTTATTCGGTAACAGATGAATTAACATTGAAATGATTTATAATATTCTGACTGAATGTCTTCATCCGTCATTCTTCGTATACCCAGTGATCCGAACAGATGTTTTATTTCAAAATATCGGGGTGCAATGTGCAATGAGAATATGAATTTAACAATATTTATGTTAGGTACTTTCGTGAGGAAACAGCACTATTTTTATATTTACAAAATACAAATATTGATGGACGAAGAGAATAGTGCATTTTGTGTTGATTTCTCGATATCACTTGGGAAATCTGAACTTGAAATCAACCATTTTCCACTAATGAAGATATCAAACGAGTATATTTCTTCATTTCGTTGCTGATTTGTAACCATATTATTCAGATTCATTTATTTGATCATGTTATGTATATACGAATACATTTATGACAGGTCACATGGTAGAATAAACATAAATAGATATACCAATAAGACAGGAACGACAGACAAAGTATGGTATAGACAATAAATCCTAAACTAACTGATCATTTTTTTTTCATAATTTGAAAAAATATTGTACATAACTTTTTTTTTCAAATGCATTACCTCGTTGGTCCTAGCACTGGGACCAATCGCCCCATAAGTCGAAACTTGTGCGGGGTTAGGTATGCATACAAACACAAACATCCATGGCCTAACTAGGATTCGAACCTATGTCTCGGTGGGAGTCCCCATACGAACTCAGCGCCTTCACGCTCTCGGCCACCGAGCCGAGTACTAGCTAGGAAACGCATTTTGTGTAACTCTGTGTTTTGCGAGATCTCGCGCGTTTCCTAATTGGTTACGTAAATATCTATTACATTCTTTCATTCCCTTCTGATGAATCCTTTAACAACAAAAAGACGAATCAATACAAATAATTGTAAATAAACTATAACACCACGAATCACCGAAAGTGATTGTTTGTGGTTACGTGAACATCCATACGAGCCCTGTCTCAGTGAAGTTGGTCCAACGCCCCAAATTGAACAAATGCGTTCAAACAATATGGAATGTATTTTCCAACAAGATGGTGCCGCTTGCCATACGTAGAGTGACTTTATAAATAGAATGACGTCAATAATAGTACACTTTTTGATTGGTCAGACATTTAATATGGAGGTGCATCCACCTGTCTTATTTTCTCCATTCAATTCTACGTATTATATTTCAGTTTGTTTTGATTTTTGCTCTTTGGACACTAAACATCCAACAATCAGACATGAAACTCTATACGTCAGTACCTTGGATATTAACTATTAGACTTCGCCTTTTGAGACTCGCAAGTCTTAGATTATTCAGATGATGAAATGAAAATATTAAATATCTTATCCTAACATCAGGTGGGCACTTCGAAGGCGCAAATGCATTAATGCATGGGAGATACCCTTTAGATTTTTAGCTATTCAGTGACTTGACATTCCGAAAATGGCAGCAATTTGGATGTCTATTGTCGTCACTCTAATTGAATCGGTGAGAATAAGAACAGTACAAGTCCAAAATTTGACATTTCGAACTGGAATAGCCATTTTGTCTGTAATACGAAGCTGCATCGAATGAGTCGAGAAACAGTATTAATATCACTATATCAAGGCGTATGACGGCGCTCATCGTGAAGCGTTGAGCGTAAGAACAGAACAACTTTACAGAGAGTTTTTCTTGTTTTCCCAAAACTGTAACATTTGGACTTGTACTGTTCTTATTCTCACCGATTCAATTATAAAGTCACTCTAGCTATACGGCTTAAAAAGTAAAAGATTCGTTGTTAAAACACAATATTCCAGTTTTAAAATTGACGTCGAGTAGTCCAGATCTATCGCCAATTGAAACCTTGTGGCATACCATGAAAAAAAGGCTCCGAACAAATCCCGCAAGTACCGTTCGAGAATAGCGAAACACGTCTCCAAGAAATTTGAAACAGTTTTACACAGTTTGACAGTTGACACTATAGGTATGTTCCTTTGTGTTGCTAGGAATGCTTATAGCACGTCTAGCAGAAATGCATTTGTTTATTTGTGTCGAGCATTCGATCTAAATGTGTTCGTTTGTGTGGAGCAAATTGCTGTTGATCAAAAAGATCAAGCTAAATCCACTCGGCCAAAACTGGTCGAGCAAGAAAAGCAGATCAGTTTAGTCGGTTACCATAACCTGGAAAAACAGCAAATTGGGTTGAAAACTACAAAAATTTTGAACATGTCAGGAGTTTCACCAACTGATATCGTTTTAGACGCTTCAGTGAGTGACGTAATGCATAGGTAATGAATATTACGTTTTAAAAACGAATCCTAAGTATGTATAATAAGGAGAAGAAGATATAATATTTTGGGAATAATTTATTATTGTTCTTTCAGAGGATAGTCTAGTGGGTATGGAAAAAATCCTAATCCTCATAATTGATTATCAACCACAAAAATATTTCAGGCTTGGTCTAAAATGTTAGCTAATGCACTTTGTTAATTTTTTCTGCCCAAATATACTACAATCTGCTCTGTGACGTCGTTGATCTGATTTGATCGGCTTGCTCTAAGCAAAGACAAAAATGAACAGATCTTGTCAAGACGTATCGAAGCATGAATCAGTCGAAAAGGCGAAGTAACGCGTCAGTGGTGGTTTTGCTGCTATTTGCATGGTTCCGTTAATTTTTATTAATCGGCAGGTTTTTTCAATTCGTAAGATGATTTGTTCTCTGTCACAAATAAAATTAGTATTTTAGGCTAATTTTAAATAAAATTATCATGTTATCAGAAATACATCATAGTTTTTAATTTTCGCTAATATGACAAATTTCATAAAAAACGTTGTTTCGATATTTGGGCCACCCACGTTCACTGAGACGGCTCGTAGATACATTCATTCCACTGTTTCATATTTGGAATATTATCATGCGTTAGTAAACAAACCAAAATCGCGACCGAGTATCAGCGTTCCGTAAACAAATGGCCTACTATAGGTGACGTCATCAAGTGCTTACGTGCTTACTTCATTCAAGTCGCCTTCAAATACTGCAGACGGCTCAACTGACATTTTCTAAGTTACGCATAGGTGACGGTTATATTCCAGTTAAGCATTATAATCATTGTATTTTCAGTTGACAAAAACGGTGATGTCTGTATATCTATTCTTCACGAACCAGGTGATGATAAGTTTGGTTATGAAAAGGCCTCGGAGCGATGGTTACCAGTACACACAGTAGAAACTATACTAATTTCAGTTATTTCAATGTTGGCCGATCCAAATGATGAATCACCCGCAAATGTCGATGCTGCAGTAAGTATTCTACTTAAGTTTTTTCTTATTCTTCATTATTGCTCAATTGACATTTCACCCGTATCTAATACTTGAGTTGAAATGGTTAGTAAACGCCAAACGGACAGTTGAGAGTCCTTAAAAAAATATAAAAAAATATCAAATTCTTAAATCCTTACTTAGATTTCAATAATTGAGTAATAAAATTGTAAATTCTACAACAGTTCCGAATTTCGATTATATTGATTGATTTGTATTTGTATTGAACAATCCTTACTACAAGTGACACTTCGTAAGGTTTTTCTTTTCCATATTGGCTCGAAGTGGGGTGAACATTTTCAAAGGAATGGGCGTGTACACCTTAGTAGAACTTTTAACTCAAACCAATTTTATAATGATCCATTATTTATACATAAATAATGATTGACGACATAATTCGATCGGAAAATTAACTGGAATGTTTTATTTCTGGACATAAATAATAGTACCTTCTGAAAACGGACCCTCTTATGACGTAGAAACCTCATCTCGCCATAGTTGAAAGAAAATACCAAACGACCAACGGAGACTGAGGCAACTGATATATTAATTCTTTCAACTGTGATCTCGCGCTAATTCACTCTGTCAGAAATCATGTATCATTCATCTCTGTCTGGAATAGTCTTGTTTCAGTATTAGGGTTTTGACGTCACATCATCGCCTCGTTTTCAGAGGTCCGAAAAATCGGCGATTTCAATAATTTTTTATAAATCGTAGGGAGCTCACAGCAAGAAACGGTTTGCGGTGGTGAGCTAGTATGGGTGATTTCTATCGAATTATGAAATACATTTTTTTTGTGATATAAGCCCATTCTGGAATTGCTGTCAATGCCCATAGTCGCAAAATCGGGTTTATAAATGAAAAACGGGTTCTCACTAAATGAAGGGCCCTGTGCCCTGAGAACGCATGCCATTCATCTTATTGAAATTTCATATACCAAAATGGCCAAAAGGTTTGGTTTTTGACAACACCATAAATTAACGGTTTTGTTTTAAAGGGGTTCCCGTGCCCTTATGAAACCGCTACTAAAAGAAAATATCAATAAAATTAATGGGTCAAACAGCCAGCACGTGTTTAAACCTAAACTAATGTGGTTAGAAAACCCTTATAGAGCTAAGTTGACTTCAATCGGCCTATTTTGGTCTCTAGTTCACCCTGTACAATTAATGGTACGTTGTTCTGGGACACCTTGTCTATCCATTTTTATGATATACTATCTGACGAGTAATGAGCAAAATTAAAAAACTTTTTTCTATAGTATTTTTTCCGTAGATTCATAATATGAGCTCAGATTCTTGATAATTATTATACAGGGCTATTCTCACAATAACTTTCCGGTCCTGATATTGGTTTCGTTCGAAGGGCTACTTGCTGAAGCTTTTCAGTGTAATTCATGTACCAAATCCAACCACATCGGGTAATCCCTGTATTTAATATGACAGATTGAATTTTTTATCAAAATCCACAAATCACTAGCTCTGTTTGCTGTGCCTCCAATACATACAATATTGTACACCAGAGTAGATTGTGTAGCACTGATACCGTTCGGTGTTAAATGGTGTACACTCACACTGTGTTCGTTGTCAAAGTATTGTAACACAATAACTGGAGATAATTTACCGCCGAAACAGAGTTTTACACTTGATCTTGAGGTGTGGGATGTGTAGTGCAGATAGTTGTTAGATTAGGAGTTTGTTTTTGGAACATAAACAGCAATCTCTTTTTCTTTTCAAATTCCAAGAGTTTTTACCATGCAATTAGAATACGCGAAATACCAATACACTTGACTACACCACAAGCAACGAACAAGATATCAATTTGCTACACTCCACTCCACCACTCTCGTCTACGCCGAAAAGTGTATTGTAGAAATATGTAGTGTACAACATAATTTTAATTCAGAAACAGCGAACAGACCTTCTGTATGTCAGTAACGAAACGGTTTTGGACCCCTTGAGTTTTGTCGGTTTCATCTCTGGACACTGTATACAGGGTGTCCCATAAATAGCGTGCAATACTTCACCAGCAGATTTGACGATCAAAAACAAGAAAAAAAGTTCCTATGAACAAAGGTCGAATAATGTTTCATAAGCGAGCTACTCCCCACTAAAGGAGGTACCCTGAAGATGGTTTTTATTTTATATTATCGAAACTGTTGATAGCAGAATTTTGTCTTATAATATGCGATAATAATAATTTCAAAATTCCATCCAGAAATGGGTCAAACTGTGGGGGTGGGGGGTAAAATCACCCCAACTCTTTTAAGTGCGGTTTGTTTGCAACTTCAGCAAGAAATTATGAAACTTTGAAGCCTTTTGTACCAAAAGGTTCCTCTTGTTCAACTTCGATATGAAGCACCGTTCTCTAGTAAAATCGATTTGAAAGTTACCTCACATGTCATAAAAATGCATAATGAAATTACAAAAATTAAAAAATTGAGCGTATGCCATGGAAAACGACCACTATGGGCACTATGTTTGGGAAAAAATAATCAAGACAGGTGACAGATTACCTGTCTCCACTGTTGCTACCTAGGTCGTCTGATAAACTGAGAAAGCAGGTGAAGTCAATCACAACCCAGACAGGTCCCAGAAGTCTGTCCGAACAGCGCCAAAATTAGGGGCCTCTGACTGAAGTAGACACGCGGGAGAACCAATTTCAAAAATTCTGCGTGCTTCCCAAGCTATAAGTCTTCGGACCCGACTATGAGTTTAACAAACAAACAAAGCCAATTTGAACAATTACATAGGTAAAAAAAATGTCGCTTATACAAGGTGATTCTAAAATAGGTGGTCAAACTTTGGGAGCATATAGAGTGGGTGAAATAGTTACGACAACCTCTGTAACATTTTTTTCTGAAGTGACCCCCAGGAAAGATACAGCCCCTCAAATGGGGGCCTCGGAGAATGGTTTTGTATTATCTCCAACACCTTATTGTATAATGAAAATCTGAAATTTTGTCCATCCACTTACTATTCAGTGCCGGTTCGAATGGAGTTAAAATCACCTCAAAATAAAATACAGGGGTGTGTCAAAATAGGGAGGTAGGGGGTAAAAATAACCCCAACTTTTTTGTTCATGGCAATTTCAGTTTTTTGACATGAAATTATAAAATCTCAGGGCTATTCACAAAGAAAAGGTGCTCTTGTTGCATCTCGATAAAATGAACTATATATTAGCGAATAAAATTTAAAAAAAGCTTGTTTCTAACGATATTTTTCATTTTAGTATTTTCAATAGGATCAGACCATAATCACGAAACTCGTCGTCTATTTTTAATTCATGAATGACAACGAATTCAAAATTTCAACCCCAAAAACCCTTGCAAACCAATTTTGAACCGTTCGAACCATAATCGGAAACCTGGTCAGCCACATTGAAGCCGCCATATTTTTTTCTATCAAAAAGTCCACAACGCGTTGTCAACTGTCATCGGCCAGATTCCAAGTTGATGAGACGATTAGAAGTAGGTAACAATTCAGTTGCAAGATTTGAACTAGATAATTAAACTAAAGTGCATACCAAAGTTGCAATTTGAATGAAATCTTGTGAAAATAAATTTTATTCGCCCATGGTTCAGTTTATCGATATTCAACAAGAGCTCCTTATTTTCTATGTTAATTGCCTTGAGATTTCATAATTTCATGTAAACAAACTGAAATTGCGATGAACAAAAAAGTTGGGGTTATTTTTACCCCCTACCTCCCTGTTTTGACACACCCCTGTATTTAATTTTGAGGTGATTTTTACTCCATTCGAACCGGCAGTGAATAGTTAGTGGATAAACAAAATTTCAGATTTTCATCATACAAGGTGTTGGAGATAATAGTACAAAATCATTCTCTGAGGCCCCCCTTTGAGGGGCTGTATCTTTCTTGGGGGGCACTTCAGAAAAAAATGTTACCGAGGTTTTCGTAATTATTTCACTCACTCTATATACTCCCAAAGTTTGACCACCTATTTTAGAATCACCTTGTATAAATAATTTAGTATTTTTTCATAAAATAAGTAATTTTACAAACCTTCTGTCACTTATTTCATGAATTTTTCACCTGTCTTGATTATTTTTGCACGAACCTAGTGGTCGTGTTTCATGGCCTACGCAAAAATGTTTAATTTTTCTCATTTCTTCATGAATTTTCATTTTTTTATGACATGTGGAGTAATTTTCAAATCGATATTAATCGAGAACTGTGCTTCCTACCGAAGTCAAACTGGATAAACTTTCATGCAAAAGGCTTCGAAGTTTTATAATTTCTTGCGAAAATACCGCACCCAAAAAAGTTGGGGTGAATTAACCCCCCACCCCCCACAGTTTGACCCACTTCAAGATGACATTTTGAAATAATCATTATCGCATATTATTAGTCATAAAAAGATTGGTTGACTCGCAAAATTTCATAATCCTGCTATCAACAGTTTCGAAGATATTAAATAAAAACCATCTTCAGGGTACCACCTTTAGGGGGATGTAGCTCGCTTATGAAACGTTATTTGACCTATGTTCATAGGAATTTTTTCTCTTATTTTTGATCGTATTTTCTCCTGGTGAAGTATTGCACGCTAATTATGGGACACCCTGTATTATTATTTGTATACAGGGTGTTGCTTAAAGACATGCTAATATTCGACTCATTTCAAGAAGAGACCTTCATATGAACGTATGTCCTAAAAGTCTTAACTTTTGAGATACAGGGTGATGAAGTTTTGAAAAATATTCAGTTTTTTGAGAATAACTGAGACAATATTGCATTCATCTTTATGAAATTTGGTACACGTCTTTTATGCATCAAGGTGCATTTTCTGATGCACAAAAATTTTCATTTTCTCTACCAGTGGCACCGTTACGGGAATATTATTGTTTATATTCTACTTAGAAGTGAGCAACGACAATAAATTCTCACATTTTATACAAGGTCATTAAAAACTATTCAATTATATACAAAAAAGGCCCCCTTGTTGATACTCGATAGAACGCTTCGCTTTCGAGAAAAAACGGAAAAACGAGACCAGACTTCAAATTTTGATGTCTGAGTAATCCATTCATTCCTGAATAACCACAGTATGTAACATCTTGAAATTTGTATACCGATACAGTCACATAGCAAACTGAATTTTGCTATCACGAAAAGCTATACAGGGTGGACAAAAAAATAATCTATGCATATTTTCAACATGGACGTTTACGACATACGTTCATATGAAGTTTTATTCTTAAAATGGGTGGAAGAATCGGCCTCTTGAATATTAGCATATCATTAAGGAATACCCTGTATATCATTCGCAATATTCAACAGAAATCAACTAATTTCCTAGCACATTTTATCAAAAGATTTATACATACTACTTTATATATATTTCAGTTATATGCACATTTAAATTGCCTATTGAAATTTACGTGGTAGATAATGAGATGGCATATTTTAACCGAGACACTTTGTATAATTAATATTGGATTATTATTGCAGAAAGAATGGAGGGAATCGTATTCAGAGTTCAAAAGAAAAGTGGCAAGATGTGTCCGGAAGTCACAAGAACAAGAGGAGTGTTAGTGTAATGACTATTAAAATTAAATTTTAAAACAATTATACAGTGGTTTGATTCTTGACCTGTTGAAATGAATATACACTTTATATGTCACTTCTGTAGTTTTTTATACAGCATAAAATGTTTGTATTCATATGGAACTTCAACACTTCTCGGATCAAACGATCATGTTTCTTTTAATTTTGGGATCTCATAACAATCAAGGAGAATCACAGTCAGGAATCTGAGGAAATTATTGTTCAATAAATGGTTTGTTTGATGTTTTTTTTTGCATTTTATTGTTTCATTATCGATTTTGTTTGTATAAGAATAGGTGAATGGGTTGATAAACTAATGGAATGGACATTAGTTTATCACAGCCGACTATTATATTGACTGATACTTTTTTGTCGATCTTCATCTTATTATTTTTGAACTATTTAATCGTACTTTTAACGCTGATATTTCAATAAAAAACTATTTGAAAGGTCTGAATTATTTTTTATTGTATGTTTGATATAAACTCCCCGGCTACCCGACCGTCGTGTTCTTTAAGATATGGTATTCATTAAGTTGTGCTATATTTTTGGATTCGTAAACTTGTGTAAGTTATTATGATCAGGTTGTAACAATTATAACGAGATACATTAAAATCACCATAAGATACGGAAATGTCAACATAACTTGTAACTGCTCTTTAGAAATGTAAATTTTGCTGTAACTGTAGGTACCGTAATTAAGTAAATTTTATTATAAAATACGAGCGTTTTATTTATAATTCTACAATAAACAGTCAACAAACGACAATTTATGAGAAGCAAGCAGTGTATATCATATTTTTTCCAATAATTTAATTCAATATTTACTTCCATCGACAAGTGGAGAATTAGGTATTGGTGCGTTTAAAAAAATTCGTCCTATTCAGAATTGAAAACATACGAATTGAATTATGTGTGACTATATAATAGTATACAGTGTGAGCAAGATATAATTAAGGTTGTACAGCAAGGAGGTCTTGGAACTGGGAAGAGATGGGAAAAATGTTGCGCATTCAGAGCTGGGTCATACCAACGGCCTTAGAAAATTTTCAACATTGTTATTAGTTTTCCAGTTATATCGAAAAACGTGATTTTCGTTATAGTATTAGCATAGGTTAAACAAACCAAGAGATAGGTACAGGAAGACTGAAAATACTTTTCCATGGCAACTTTTGATGAGATATAACATGGTGATATTGTTTTCTCTACGCGACGATTCGTATTCCTATAGTTCCTAGAACCATTTCATAAACTTTTTATTTCAAATACAGGGTGAGTCACGATCGCGAGGAACTGTTTATTTTCCTACCACAAATACCCTGAGGAAAATACCTAAATTGACCATTAGAAATTGTCTTCTCCTCTTCTTTGCAAATATAATTAGGACATTGAGAGAGGTATTTCTGAGAAGATCTTCGAAATGTATTTCTAGGGTATTCAATTTAAAAATATTACACATTTTGCTGCTCTGCTGCTTGTATATTTTTTCAGATTCAGATAACAAAAATAAATAATGCACCATTGCGAAGTTCAGTACTTTACCTGTATATTCGACATCTGATTCACAGTGTAATATTGATACAAAAACTGGAAAAGTAATGTGACTGTAACATTATATCAGACAAACCTATTCTATTTCATCAAATCAACCATCATATATACAGCTAAAACGTATGATCAAATATAATAATTGAAGCCTTGTACTATTTCAATTTACTAATGAATTCATTACCAGTATCTCCGCAGTAGCCTACTGGAATAAACGATCGACCCCTTCAACGGATTGACACCGTCCGCGATAGATATTTGTATATGTCCATAATTGACATGAATAAATAATATACCATATATGAATAATAAACAAACTATTCAGTTCCCTAATAACACAATTATGTCCCATGGATATCCTTTTAGGACGTCCTGCCGGGACATTCAGGAGGTCCATAGAACGTTCGAATTTGGTACTTGCATAACTGATGAGGACACCCAGTTGAGTTGATGCTCCGTAGAAAGTCCTCAATAGATCCTGAAAAAGTTTCTCAAGGATGTCCAATGGACTTACGTGAAGGACATTGACGGGGGGAATTTATAGCCTACGAGCAATCATTCATCGGCGAGGTATAAGTTAACGTCAACGAACAACATATTGAAAGTACCGACTGGGACGTCCGTAGGACGTTATTTCTAGGACATTGGAAGAGTATATAGTTCATGTACCAATTGGGACATCCGACGGATATCCCTAAGGGACATTCGAAGGATGTCCCTAAGGGACATTTCGATTGTTATAACGATCCTGGAAATATAGAGGGCATCTGTGCAGAGATATTTGAAGGAATGTATACCATCAGGGACATTTCATGGTTGTCTAGGAGGGACATATTGTATAATAACATCTGCAGTCATGCAGAATATGTACTGCTCGGGATATCCGATATGGATGTCTCTATATAAAGGAACGTTTAAAATCATATCCCATCAGGGACATGCCAAGGACGTCCTTGCATGGACGTTCTACAATATGTAGGTTACAACGTGGGACGTCTAAGGGATACTACTTCTAGGACATTTGAATTGATGTACCTGCAGCTGGGACATTTCCGTGGACGTCCTTGCTCGGACATTGCATGAGATGTACGGGATGGGACGTCCCAAGGACACTTATTTTTGGTCCGGGACATTCGGAATTGTACCAAATAGGGACGTCGAAGATCCGCATCAACAGTGCGAAAACCGAGGTAATACATGTTCATTATAAACGCAATAAAACTCCACGTTGAGCAGACCTTTGACCGTCAAATAAGGGGTTGAGGTGACGGACACGACCCCCGTGAAATACCTGGGAGTCAAGTTGGACCCCCATATGTCATTCAGGAAGAATACAAACTAACCTCTAATACAGAAAACGCAAGCTGCAATCAAAAAGATCCCTTGCTATCCCTATCCAGGACCTCCCCTCTCTCGCTGGAGAATAAGGTCCTGGTATATAGCAAATCATTAGGCCTGTAATGACATATGCGTGTCCGGTGTACTGCAGCATCCCACCAACTCATATGAAATAGGCTACAGGCGCTGCAGAACAATAAAGTACTCCGTCGTATTATCGCCAACGGTGATAGATATACTCTCGAGTCGCAGATCTCCACGAGAGATGTGGTAATTTGCCTAGAGTCGGTGAGTATACATATTGAAAATTTCTAATAGATTCTACAAATACCACATCGCTGGAAGTGACCTTACCCGGAACATCACCGCAACCAGACAGCATCATAACATCCGTAAAAAACACGGGCTGAAATATATGCCTCAACCGATGTTTTTAGAGAGCCTGGAAACCTATAGATGGGAATCTTGGCGGAGCCGCGGACCCGTCCGAGACTCCGGGGAGGATCCAGTCATCTTTATTTCCCAGGAAGTGGAAATAAAATAGTGTCTCTGATGCAGACAATGCAAACGAAACGACACTGAACTCGGCGGGGGGTGTTAGCGCCCCCCCACCCGTGACCGGCCCAAAAGCCGAGTGCGGGTGGGGGAGCGCTCTCACTCCCTGCCGAGCTAAACGAGGAGGTTTTTTATTTATATAATTCTATTTTCCTCCACAAAACACAACACCCACCACTGATAGCGTCTGAACAACTCCCCCACCCATTGGGTAACCTCAGTGAAATTACCTTTATAAAGGGCTTAGCCCTAGGAGAATAGGAGATAGGCTTCTGCGACGAACACTTCACATATGCACCCACATTCCTTGGCCAACACCAGCCACCTCTGCTTGCTCGGAGGATTCTATCTATGCAGTTTTAAATTGTACTTAGTATACTCTTATTTATTTACGTGGATGTATTTATGTGCTGTAAACCAAAGATGGAATAATAAATTACTATTAATATGCCTTCATAATCCAAAGGTCGCAGGTTCGAACGGGGCGATCGGACACTTTTTTCAATTTTAGGTCTGACGGTATACACACGACATCGGTCCGGCCGTCGGCCAGAGTGACCTATTGACGTCTGACCGCGACGTCGTTTGCCGCTCTTTTGCCGCGTCGGCAACTTCTGGCAATCAGGTTTTGGGCCGACGTAATAACGATCGAAATTGTTCGCTGGGTACGACTCGTGGCGTACTTGACTGTGCGTTTGAATCCCACGTCGGTCACCCGGGTTCAAATGCCTGTCGTGACGGTCGTCATTTTTCAAATTCTGTTTTCATAAGTGATTTTTCGAAAAATATAATTTTTAGGGAGGAGGTTCATTTTGGCCGATTAATAAGTTTGAATGGTTCAAAAAAAAATTGTGCAGGAGGAATATTATATCCTCCCTATAACTGAAAGGCCTGAAAAAAGTACTGTTTTTTTAGGAAGACGCTTTATCACGGCCGAGTAAGGTTGGCTGGTTTAATAAAAGTAGGGTCTTTTTTAATGCTGGAGCGATATTCGCTCCTCCCTTCCAGAAAACAGTATACTATCGGAGGCTTTACTGTTGAGGGAAAGTTTTGACAAAATTATTTTCTAGAGTAAAGGTTCCTCCGACCAAGTTAGATTGTGTTGTTTTGAAGAATAGTTTTCTTTTACTTCCATGTGAATTCATGAAAATGCTATTTTCTTCTTGTTGGGTTATCCTGCTATCAGTTATTCGAGCAGATGATTGAAGTAGTTTCTTTCTCAAGCTGAAGAAAATGACCACAATCCGGCTACATATCATTGATATGACTGACACGAGATTACGTCTCCGTCACTATTCCATTTTATGAAGTCAGTCTAAGAATCATCAGGCTTTTCGTAAATAATTAATTCGAGGCAGGCAAGGACGAGGCAGAAAGATCGCCATCTATAGTGGTGAAAATGTAACTTATTGATGTCGAATGGCCGAAATATTTCATCAATATTTCATATTTTGTTCCCTAATAACACAATTATGTCCCATGGATATCCTTTGGACGTCCTGTCGGGACATCCAGGACGTTTATAGGACGTTCGAATTTGGTACCGTGGACGTCCATTGGACGTCTGTGGGACGCACAAATGTCCCACTTGAGGACCAACTAGGGACGTCCTTGAGGGATGTCCCTGGGACAACTATCGAATACCTGAATCCTACCGTCGTATTCCTCATCAAGCACTACGGGGAACATACTTAGGACATCCGTAAGACAACTTATCAGAGCAACGCTGAGGGATATCAATTGGATGTCCCAGGAACGTACGAATCATTCTTGAATTTGAATTTGTCTGGGTCCCTCTAGGACCAGATCTCTTGCATAACTAATGAGGACATCCAGTTGAGCTGATGGTCAGTAGAAGGTCCCCATCAATTAATCCTGAAAAAGTTTTCCTAGGATGTCCTATGGACTTACGTGAAGGACATTGACGGGGAGTATTTATAGCCTACGAGCGATCATTCGCCGGCGAGGTTTAAATTAACGTCCTCGCAGGGACAACATATCAAAAGTACCGACTGGGACGTCCATAGGACGTTATTTCTAGGACATTGGAAGAGTACAGTTCATGTACCAATTGGGACATTCGACGGATATCCCTAAAGGGACATTCGAAGGATGTCCCTAAGGGACATTTAGATTGTTTTACGATCCTGGAAATATTGAGGGCGGCGTCTGTGCAGAGATATTTGATATACGTGTAGTAAGGACATAAATACAATATAAAGAAAAGACACATCGACAAATCGGAACTAAAACTGGAACATATATATCCTTACTG